AAATTGTAAGTGGTGCTAGCATGTTCAACCAACCATGTCAAAACTGGGTGGTCGTCTGGCACCTTTCTTCCATAGCTTGTCTCCAAGGCACTTCTGAGTGTCCTGGATTGAGATTCAATAGCTTGAACTGCTCTTTCAATTTCCCCTTTGGATTCTGAGACTCCTTTGGGAACTTTTTCCAAAACCAACTGTTTGTCAAAACCATTCTTGGCTGCCTCAACTACGGAGTTGAGTGCCGGCTCTGGGTCATATCTCATGACCATCTTGGGGTACCCAAACTTCTTAAGGTCATTCAAAAGACACTTAGATCCAATAGGACCTTGGGTAACTCCCTTGTATGGCAAGACGTGTGCGTAGGTCAACTTGGACCATCGATCATGTACTATCAAAACTGGTGCATGCTTTTTCTGCGCTTCTTCTGTGATGACAGTGTCATCCACTGAATTCATGAAACAATAGTCAGCTGAGATCACAGGAACTGTTTCATCTGAATGATCTACTTTGACATGTCTCATTGCCTTTGCCTTACCTCGAATGCAATGTTCACACCAACTCCTAAAAGGATAATGGCTGACAAAATGCTCTTCTTTTTCTCTCTGCGTCGGCGCTGCTGCAGTTGGTAGCGCTTGAGAACCTAGCTTACTACTGCCCGGTTCATCATCTCCACTACCTGCGCTCTCTGTGGTCTCCACAGGACTTACGCCTTCAACCCGTCTGTGGGCTGCCCATGAAAATCCATGGCTATCTTGAAAACACCTCCAGTCATGGTGACTGGAACCTTCTTGGCTCCCCTTTGCAGAAACGATCCATTGGGGCCGAAGGTTACTGTCCAGCCTTTCTCAACCAGCTTGGACACAGACAACAATGGCTTTGCAACATCCATTGCCCGGAACTGTCCCACACCTTTGACTTGTGGGCCTCCTTTCTCACCCATGGTCACCATAGGGTTGCACACCCCATGCACCTGGACTGGCTGCCCTGATGCGTTGGTGAACGGCTTCTCATCCACAGGTGTCATAGCCAACTCCAATGACTGTGCCAATTCCTTGGGTAGGCAACTGGTTGCTGCCCCTGAGTCAACGGTGGCCCAGACAATGGTATCCACCTGAGATGCCAAACTTCCCAGGAAGTCAAGGTTGGAGTCTGATTGAACTCCTCCTCCTGGTGAGTGCTCCCTGGGCTTGGGAGATGGCGTTTTCTCCCTCTTCTTCCTGGCTTTTCTTTCCATGTAGTTGGCTGCATCACGCACCGTCTTCTCCAGGAATCTCTTGGTGCCCATGCTGAACTTTCCCCTGCCCTTGGACGCCTGGGCTGAATCAGCCCGGCTGTCCTCAGGCGCTCTCGATGGGGATTTGGACTTCAGCTCGATGGGTGCTCTGGGTGCCTCTTCTTCTTCTTTCTTTTCTTCTTCCTCTTTCTCCTCGACCTTCTCTTTCTCCTCTGGCCTCCTGGGGATCTTCTTCACTTCAGGCTTCAAATCATCTTTACCCTGGTGCCTGAAGCGCTCATAGTGCTCCTCAAGATGCTGCTTGCGCTTCTTCTTCTCTTCATCCTTGGCGATCTCTTGGCGCTTTTTCTCATCTTTGGCCTCTGCATCATCCATGGGGCGCTTCTTGGATGATTCTCCTTCTTCTCGTGCCTCTCTCTCTCTGCCTTTGCCTGGCGATGTTCTTTCTTCCAAAACTCCAGGGCATACTGAGGATAGCATTGCTTGTTCTCCACATGTTGCCAAAAGCTTGCAACGCTCATGGAGTTGAGTGCCTTTCCACATGACTGGCACTTCACATAGGGATACCCTTTGTTGGAGACAGTTTTGCACTTCTCATGCAACTCCTTGAATGGAATGGGTCTTCCAAAGGAATTCTGCCAATGCTCGACCACATCCTCCATGCCTGGTGCTGGCTCCTGGTTGTAGGGCAAATCGTCTGGATCTGTCTCATCAGAAGATCCTAGGTCAAGAACTTCACCATAGGCTTTCTCGTAGGCTTCCTTCAAGACGTTGTCCAACTTGCTGAGGACTTCAGGATCGGTTTTCAGCTTTTCAAGTCTGCTAACAAACTCATATCCTTCAGAGGAAATGCTCTCCTCAGAGGAAATCTCACACTTATCATGGATCCATTGTGGGATCTCATCCTGGCTCATCTCTTTCATCTTCTCCTTGTTGGCTTTCTTTCTAGCTTCATCTGCCCTTCGTCTTTCAGACCTGTGATGTCCTCCTCTATGGCGCTTAGGTTCCAGCTTTCTTGCTTTGGGAGGTTCAGGACGATCTCCCATGTCATCCTGGTCCCACTTGTCGGGGTTGGCCTGTCCAAAGGTGGCCAACTCATAGCGCTTGAAGCTGGATGCTCTTTGTCCAGCAGTGGCTGCTCGATGACTGGCAGCTCTCTGCCTGTCCTTCTCCTTCTTCTTGGCAGCTCTTGGATGTACCCCAGCATCAAGGTCGGCTTGCATCCGACGAGAGGGTGCAGCCGGTGCTGAAGCAGCACGGCCTTCTGCCCTCACTTTGGCCATTGCCTCTTTGGCCTCTTTGTGATGCTGGGCTGCCTCTTTCTTCAACTTGTCCAGGGCTTCTTGGCGTTCCTTAAGAGCTTGATTTGCTTGACGCCCTTTGTCCTGAGCTTCTTTGACAGCGCTCTCAGCCTGAGCAATCATCTTGCCAAACAGCTCCTTGTTAGACCCAGAAGCTGATGCCAAAGCGCTCTGAGCCATGACGATAGCGCTCCTGGTCACAGTGCTCCTTGAAGGTGCTTGAAGGTTTGCTCGTCTTGGGCTTCGACCACGACGAGAAGATTCATCTCGAGCTTCAGACTTGGGTGGCATAGTGTCTTCCAATGCAAACAGCGCAGTGATCTCTGGTTCAGGTTGATCACCAGATGAGGCTGCAGGTTGTTGCTCTTGAGCCCAAGTGTCGGACTCAACATTAGCAACTTTACGACCTTTGCTTTGATCACCTTTACCTTTACCTTTGTCTTGACCTTTCTTGCCTTTTCCTTTGCTCTTGGAGTCATTGGTGTTTTGTTTATACCAAGACTGCTGATTCCAAGATTGATTGTTCCAAGAACCCTTGTGGTATGAATTGTTTGACCAAGACGAAGACTGACTCTTACCTTTGTCTTTACCTTTTGACTTACCTTTGCCTTTCCCTTTATCTTGTTTTCCTTTTCCCTTACCCTTAGCAAGGGAATCCACATCCATGGGAACGGCTCCTGACTTTGCTTCTTTCCTGGTCTCGACGTTCTCAAGGTAGGCCAAAACTTCAGCTTTCACCTGGTCATACGTGGTCAATCTCGAAGCCTGCAAGTCCAAATGATCTTGCAACTTGTTGGGACACATCTGCTGCAAGCAACTCCTGCAGATGTCATCTTCAAGTGGTTTCTTTCTCCTGTCTTCGTACTTTCTTTTCAAGTTCTCCCAACTCTCAAGCCCTTCTCGAAGCTTATCAAGACTGCATTGACTTGGATGCAGAACCTTTTTCAACAAGGCTGAATTGGCTTGAGGATTTTGAGGATCATATTTGCACAACAGTCGTCTCATGGCTTCTAGGCCAAAGTGGCTACCACGAGATGTGTTCTTGACAATTTCCAACGCTTCTCCCTCAGTCAATGATATGAGGGCTTGTCTAGCCTGAGCTGAAACTAGCTCGGCGCCTTCATCAAAGTCTACTTCTAGACTTGACTCAGTGATCTCTTTGTCACACTGAGACTCGACTTGTGCCACAATCTTCACAGCGTTCTTGTGGCAACTTTCAACCCATGTCTTAAACTTGTACCACCAACTATCCCAAGTGCCTGATGCTCCATTGAACTTGTCAGGTTTTGGTATGCCTTTCAACTCTGATCTGTCTTTGTACTCAACAGATCTCTCAACATTTTTGTTGATCTGAAGCTGCTGGCTCATAGCCTCAGTCATTGCCTGATTCAACTGCGCCTGACCCTGAGTCAATTGGGCCATCATCTGCATGATCATCTGGGACATGTTGGGACCGTTGCCTTGTGCTTGTGGTGGTGCCGGTGGAGTGCCTGGTTGCTGAGGTGGCTGCTGTTGCTGAGCCATCCTTAGTCGTTCTTCAGGTGCTTAGAGACCTGGTTCAAGAGAACCCTTGGATACTGTTGGAGATGCACTCCCAGGTTATGGAAGTACCTTTGGAGTTTCCTGATTTTCAGGAGCTTGAGTGTCAACCTTTTCCAGTTGGCACTGGGTAGGCGCGCCAGAGCTGATGCAGCTCGGCGTTGACACCTACACATTCACAGCTGGGTATCAGAACCTCAGCTCCGCTACCATGAACAGAGAATTTGGGCTCTTAAATCTGATGAACACTCCTGAGCACTGATCAGCACCTTTTCACTCAGTCAGCTCGAAGGTAGCTGAAAGCACTAAAATGGCTGCAGCACATATACAAACATATGTACTACATGTAACATGGCCTATACTGTACACATATCTGATCACATACACATACACATACATATATAAATATCTGTATATATACAAAAAAAAAACTGAATATATAAATATGTGTATATATATATACAAAATATTAATGGGTATACTCTAGTGGGTTGAAGATTTCAAAGCCACAATATGATGCCCCATCAAACTTGGAAGGGTGACATCCAGCTCTGGTACCTGAAAACATGCACTGGTCAATGGTCATTTTGCTTCTTAAAACGGCCGTGAAAGTGTTGGAAAATACCAAGTTTCAGATCTGCTGGATATTAAAGGTTGTTGATTAATCTGGATACACCAGTTGAAAGTGTTGGGTACACTGTTTCCAATTAGTGTTGGATTAGTTTGGTTATTTAACCATTAAACACCATGAAAATCCATATAGTATCATCTGATATATTGATTTTTAAACACATAAACACCATTAAAATCCATAAACACCATTAAATCCATATAGTATCACCAGTAAACACCATTAAAATCCATAAACGTGTTGTTTTCTCAGGTGTTTTCCCCTGTCGAAACGTTCAGTTCCCATCCCCTCAGGTCGCAGCAAACCAAAGGATGCCGGGGATGGCAAAGGAGGTCTTCTCACTCTGCACCTTTCTCGATATCTAATATCCATTAGCTTATGTATCTAGTATGGATACTGGATTTTAATGGATCTTAATGGATTTTTATGGATTTTTATGGATTTTAATGGATTTTTATGGATTTTTATGGATTTTTATGGATTTTAATGGATTTCAATGGTGTTTAATGGTGTTTAATGGATTTACCATCTGGTTATTTAACATAGCTATATGTACTGTATTAAATATCTATACCTAATATCTCTATATCTACTATATTAATATTTATATGTATATTTCATATATATATATCCAATAGTACATCTATATTGTATATCTAAAGTATAGTAATATCTATATCTAATATCTATAGTATAGTAATCTAATGTAGTATCATCTGATATATTGATTTTTAGTATAATACATGCATATCTATATCTAATATCTTATATCCTTTAGCTAATGTATCTAGTATGTAGTATCGAATATAATATGTCGAATACCTAGTATCTAGTACTTAATATCTATATATATATACCTATTTCTATATCTATGTCCATGTCCATGTCTGTGTCTGTGTCTATGTCTATGTCTATGTCTATGTCTATCTATCGATCGATCTATCTATCTATCTCTCTATCTCTCTATCTGTCTATCTATCTATCTATCTATCTACCTATCTATCTATCTATCGATCTATCTAATCATATCTAATCATATCTAATCTAATCTAATCTAGTCTAATCTAATCTAATCTAATCTAATCTATCTATCTATATGTATGTATATATATATCATGGATCCATATTAGATGTATCTGTTTATCTAGATCTATATCCAAACATCAAATATCTATACACCTGTATTTGTATATGCCTGTATAGTTTTTCTTGGTGGTCTCGCAACACTGTGCGTTTCACGTGACACTTATGCGCGAAATCCCGGGTGGGTTTCCTTGCCGGTTTTTTTGGGGGTACCCAGATAGCCATAAAAGACTTGGGAAACCACCATGTTCCAATAGTACATCTACCCTCTGGTGAACTAACAGTTTGCAATTGAAAATGGTCATTTATAGATATTTAGAGTGGATTTTCCCACAAAAAAATGTTATTTTCCATTGCTATGTTAGTTCAACAAAGGGTATATTGTATATCTATAGTATAGTAATATCTATATCTAACATTACCATCTGGTTATTCAACAACCCTATCATCAACCATATCAGATGTTGTTGGGTAATATCCCATGTTTTCACCCTCTGAACTAACATGAGCTTAAATAGCATCATCTATAAATGAACCATTTTCCATAGCTACTGTGGATGGTTGCGAAATCCTGCACCAGTCGATACAGTAGATGGTTTATTCCATTATTTATAGGGTTTCAACCATCCAAGGTGATGCAGGATTTCTTCCATCCACAGTAAGTTTGTCCTGGATTTCTTCCATCCACAGTAAGTTTGTCCTGTTTTACACCCTTAGTACAATACCCTCTGGATCCCTCACATAGCCATGGAAACCATGGCCCAATAATGCCCAATAGATGATTTACCTATTGAAGACGGTGGTTTTCCAGTTCACAAACTCTTAGTTTACCAGGAGTTTACCAGTGGGTAGATCCTTTATCCCATGAAATTCGAGTTCTATTCCTATTATATCTCCTCAACTATCCTGAAGACAATCCCAGTCCCACTGTTTCTCTTGTGTATTTCCCATTATTGATATGGAGGTTTCCTCAAATGGGTGTACCTCCAAACCATGTTTTCTCGGAATGTCCATCACAAACCATCCATCCAGCCATAAAAAATGGTATCATTTTTTGGTATCCCCATGGCCCCATGACTTAGGAAACCTAATTAATTCATGAATTCTGTTATCAGATTCATAACTGTTAACATCAACTTTAAGGGGTATCCCCATAAAAATGCTTACTGTGATGTTCTGATTTTATCGGGGAATCCCCATGAGATTCAACCATGGCTTTTATGGCCAAAAAAAGGGGGATCCCTTAAGGACTGGTGATCATATAATCCTGGGAAGCCCAATTACCATATCTCCTTTTTGGAATCCCCAAAAACCAGTCTCATGGGAAAAAATATTATCTGGTTATCATTTTTTATCCCATGGTTATCTCCATGGGGAATTCTCCCATCAGATCTCCAGGAAAAGAATCCCCATCCTGGCTCGCCCTTCGATGCCTCATCCCCCGGCGCTTTGCGCCGCTGGAGGTTAAGCGAGCGATCACCTGAATATCCATGGTGAATATCCATGGTGAATATCCATGGTGAATATCCATGGTGAATATCCATGGTGAATATCCATGGTGAATATCCATGGTGAATATCCATGGTGAATATCCATGGTGAATATCCATGGTGAATATCCATGGTGAATATCCATGGTGAATATCCATGGTGAATATCCATGGTGAATATCCATGGTGAATATCCATGGTGAATATCCATGGTGAATATCCATGGTGAATATCCATGGTGAATATCCATGGTGAATATCCATGGTGAATATCCATGGTGAATATCCATGGTGAATATCCATGGTGAATATCCATGGTGAATATCCATGGTGAATATCCATGGTGAATATCCATGGTGAATATCCATGGTGAATATCCATGGTGAATATCCATGGTGAATATCCATGGTGAATATCCATGGTGGAATATCCATGGTGAATATCCATGGTGAATATCCATGGTGAATATCCATGGTGAATATCCATGGTGAATATCCATGGTGAATATCCATGGTGAATATCCATGGTGAATATCGGTGATATCCATGGTGAATATCCATGGTGAATATCCATGGTGAATATTCCATGGTGGAATATGGTGAATATCCATGGTGAATATCCATGGTGGAATATCCATGGTGAATATCCATGGTGAATATCCATGGTGAATATCCATGGTGGAATATCCATGGTGAATATCCATGGTGAATATCCATGGTGAATATCCATGGTGAAATATGGTGAATATCCATGGTGAATATCCATGAAATATCCAATGGTGAATATCCATGGTGAATATCCATGGTGAATATGGTGAATATCCATGGTGAATATCCATGGTGAATATCCATGGTGAATATCCATGGTGAATCCATCCATGGTGAATATCCATGGTGAATATCCATGGTGAATATCCATGGTGAATATCCATGGTGAATATCCATGGTGAATATCCATGGTGAATATCCATGGTGAATATCCATGGTGAATATCCATGGTGAATATCCATGGTGAATATCCATGGTGAATATCCATGGTGAATATCCATGGTGAATATCCATGGTGAATATCCATGGTGAATATCCATGGTGAATATCCATGGTGAATATCCATGGTGAATATCCATGGTGAATATCCATGGTGAATATCCATGGTGAATATCCATGGGGAATATCCATGGTGAATATCCATGGTGAATATCCATGGTGAATATCCATGGTGAATATCCATGGTGAATATCCATGGTGAATATCCATGGTGAATATCCATGGTGAATATCCATGGTGTATATCCATCATTTAGCTCATTTAAGATCATAAAACATGGATATTGGCTAAATTAGCCTAAATTAGCTAATGGATATGAACATGTTTATTGCGCGTCTAAACTGGCTGTGAAAATTCTGGCGGGAAAATGGTCCATCTGGAGAAATTATGTCCTGATTCCCTGACCTGAAACAAGGTTACCTAGAGGTTTCCTTTAGTCATGGGGGGATACCCCAAAGGTAAACATACAGTTTGCGAACTGGAAAATGGCCCAATCGAAATAGTGGATTTACCCAGCTAGAAAATTGTGATTTTCCATGGTTGTGTTAGTTTGCCAGGGTACCCAAATGGATGGTTTATAATGGAAAATCCCAACTAAAAATGGATACAACATTAGGGTTACCCCCATTGGAAACCTCGGGTATCCCCTACGCATCGATACAGTAAGGTCGCAGGGAGGTCATTATGTTTTTCCCGTATGGATGATAAATCCCTATCTTTAGCTATGAAAAATGATGATGTTCCATAGCTACGTCAGAAATAATTTTGGTCCCCAAATTGACCAACAAAAATCTGGATTTCACCCACGAAAATGGGGATTTCTGATGCTCACAAAAAGTTGGATTCAACCGACAAGACCCAGCGAAATTTGCGTGTTTCGCTCGGTAAAGAATGGTTTATGCCATGAAAGTAGCCTGTGGCCCCTGTTTTCCACGTTGAAAGTATGAGATCAAAGTTTGAGACTCTCCACACTGGGGGGCTCTTCAGATCAATGTCAAAAACAAATCCGATATACAGAGATAGGTTCATTTACTATTCCTACTCTCAATTCCTATCATCATTATTACAATCTATGTGCATTATATGTATATATATATATATTATATACATATGCATCGTATAATATATATATATACTATATATATATATACATCATACACTCTATGTATATCATTCAAACTGATTGCTTTTTCTAGCGTCATGTTTCGCGCCTCGTGGTCCGAATGCATCGCCGCCAAGGTCCCGAGCGACTCGCCGGTGACGGACAGCACCGAGGCGCGGCTGCGGACCTCCGCAAGGACCTGGCGCGGCGAGGCCGAGTCCTGGGGGAAAACCATGGGAAACACCGGGTGAAGCCATGAAAATCTGACAAAAATCTGAGAAAATCTGAGAAAATCTGAGAAAAATTGGGGAAAAATGAGGAAATCAATGACACCAAAATGGAGATTTCATGGGTTTAAGCCAAACAAAAGTATGACTTCAACGACAAAAATGGAGATTAATACTAGGATACGTGTGAGTTTGACGAAGAATAACTAATTTGGATTCAACCACAAAAACAAGAACACATTGGGATATAACCGATTTGAAATCATCACACATTGCGGAAAGATGTAACCAACCAAAACAGTCGATATTAGATTAGATTGCTTCATTGGTGATATCTGCATTTTCGTTGCTAAAATCACAACTGCAGAAGAAAAGCAACACAAATCCACCGCTTTCACTGGGGTACATCCCTATGGTTGCCAGTCATCACTCCATGATCCATCCATCGGTGAAATCCTCTTTTTTGCCCCATGGTGAAGAAATGGTGACAAATCCCTTTAAATCTGGATGTTCATCATTTTGCTCAGTTTTCCTTGGTCTTCACATTTTTCCCATGCGTTTTCCCCATTTGGATATAGATCAATAGCTATTTTCATACCATTTTTAGGGGCTTATTCACATCCATAAATCCCAGCTATTTTTCCATGTTCACAAAAGGGGTACCAGCGGTAACTTGACCCACTGCCATTGGAGGACCAGCCCCACTTCGGCCCGTCGCACCTCATCCACCAGGCCGCTGAAGTGTTCCCCGCAGCGCGCCGCCTCCCGGAGCGCCGCCAGCATCGCCGCGCGGCGCGCTGCGACGCCGTCGCGAGTGCAGGCGATGCTGGGCGTACCTGGGAGAGCTGGACACTGGGGAAACTCATGGATGATTTATGGTGATTTAATGGGATTTTATGGACTTTAACTAACATAACTATGGAAAATCATTGGATTTATAATAATCTAATGGAATTTTATAGTGATTCAATGGGATATTTAATGGGATATACCCTCTGGTAAACGTTTACATAACTATGGAAAATCACCATGCTATTAATGGGAAAACTCACTACCTGAGAAGGGGGGACGAAAGCCAGCCCCGAGCTCGACTTGTTTTGTTTCCGCAGTCCTGGCATTCCCCATTTTCCTCCATTTTCCCCCTGTTTTCACCGATTTTCCTTCGTTTTTTTCCTACCTTTTTCCTGGCATTCCTCCATTTTCCTCCATTTTCCCCCTGTTTTCAACGATTTTCCTTCATTTTCTGTCGTTTTTTTCCTACCTTTTTCCTGGCATTCCTCCATTTTCCTCCATTTTCCTCCTGTTTTCAACGATTTTCCTTCGTTTTTTTCCTACCTTTTCTTGGCATTCCTCCATTTTCCTCCATTTTTCCCCTGTTTTCAACGATTTTCCTTCATTTACCTTGGTTTCTTCCTCCCTTTTTCCTGCCGGAGTCAACGGACCTAGGGGGAATCGAAGCCTACCGTCACCTCTTTGCGTAGTGGTACATGCCCCCAAAAAAAGTTCAATTTGGACGGCCTCCACTGCAACTAATTTCGAGATTTTGGCACCACACGCGACGTCCACCCCCCAGACCCCCTAATACTCACTTCGTTCGCCAAAACAACTTTGCCTAGCCTATCGGCTGGCTTTCGTAATTTCGATTGGGCCATTTCCAATAGCTATGTAAACGTTGACACCAGAGGGTACCGGTTTGGGATCAAGATATCATGGCATGAATGGAAAGTACAGAATGTGGAATTTGCCAATTATCTCATGGCTATTTGAACGATTTCCGAACAGGACATGTTTGGTGGTTTATAAAGCACATGAAGATGAGAGTTATTGTTAAACCATTGTAATTTGATTGGAGTTATAATCCCAAGTTCTTGTAGCAAAATTGGGAAGATTGGGAACAGACCGGTAGTAAAAACAATCCAAATGATATAGTTTACCAGGAATAAGCGGGGATATAAAAGGAATACAACGTTATAGTTATGGGTGTGAATATAAAAAGAAATACTGGTAAAAGGGAGTGGTTTTTAGATGGTTAGTAAAAAACATCCCAATGGTATATGACTTTGGGGTTACCGGGCTACAACATTTTTGGGAATATGGGAATTGACTATGGAAAATATTTTAATTCCGATTAGGAATTGACTAATGACGGGTAATGGGATATCATCGGATTATGAATGGCAATTTGAAACTGTTCTGAATCGAGGCTTGCTGTAATGGGATATATTTGGAAGGAAATCATGGGTTTCCACACTGTTAAGAATGGAGGTTTCCTATATGTTGCCTGCAATAAATTCTGGGACACGGATAAAATCTAGGGTGACAAAGGCTGGACGGAAAAAGCTTCAAAATGAGGTCAAAGTTGGAAAGCTGTATACTGAACTATGTGACTTTGGGGTGCCAAAAAGGGCTTTTTGACCATCAATGGAGATTTTGGGGTGTACATGCCATCATGGATCTTTTTGGGGAGCTCATCTCAATCTCCCCGTGGCAACTCCATTGATTCTTGGAAGAACCCAGCAAGATCTTGGGTGCATAATTTCTGAGCCCTTTTTCCGCTCAGATAGTCCACATAGTTCAGTCACAGTCACAATAGTGGTTTTGAACCAGTTCAAACTATGTCAAAACTATGTGTATACATGTGTATACTGTTATACACGTGTCTTCACTTTCTATTATTGATCATCAAATTTCCAGGCGGAGCAAAAAATATCCTCCGAGCCTGACTAGCGAAGCTCCCGCATCCCAAACCACTGGGCCATCAGGCGCAACAAGTGTAGGGCAGCACGCAGGAAGAATTCACCCGCTTGAAGAACCTGCAGCTTCTTCACCACGTCCGACGAAAGGACTTTCAAAGGCCCCAGCAACTGGTACCCTCTGGTGTCATCAGCCACAGCAACTGGAAATCCATCATTTAGTTCGATGATATTCCCAGCAAAACCTCCATTTGTAGAGGAGTTTCCATTGCCACCATTTGATGAAGAAATGATTTTGGAAATTCAGGCCTTGGCGGATTTGTTGTGTGTTTTCCAAGTGTTTGGAGGTAAGAAAAATTGGTCGCCAAGTCGAGGATGAGAATCCATGAATGTGGGAAGATAGGCAAGCTGCAAATATGGGCCTTATCGGTAATAGAGGAAGAACAACAACAACAACAACAACAACACCAGCAAACCAACAAACCAACAAACCAACAAACCAACAAACAAAAACAAACAAACAAACAATCAAACAATCAAACAATCAAACAATCAAACAAACAAACAAACAAACAATCAAACAATCAAACAAACAAACAAACAAACAAATCATCAAACAATCAAACAATCAAACAATCAAACAATCAAACAATCAAACAATCAAACAATCAAACAATCAAACAATCAAACAATCAAACAATCAAACAATCAAACAAACAAACAAACAAACAAATCATCAAACAATCAAACAATCAAACAATCAAACAATCAAACAAACAAACAAACAAACAAAACATCAAACAATCAAACAATCAAACAATCAATCAAACAAACAAACAAACAATCAAACAATCAATCAAACAAACAAACAAACAACCAACAACGACGACGACAAAAATGGGATAGAGCGAACAGCGCTGCTGCGGACATGGATGTGTACATCCCAGATTTGTTTGCTGTTCAACCACTCATAACACAGAAATTTGTATCGGACTAAACAAAGATTGGGGAAGACGGGCAGAATCGGTTTACCAAGAGATAGAGAGGCTCACCCAATTTGGGACATATGCACGGGTGCAAATGACAGTATCCAATCACACTGCCACTGCGTGGAGTTCAACGGCCAATTCTTGCCAAAATTTTAGTCTCTGGTCTCTGGTAGTCTTAACCCAAGTTGGAAAGCCAATCTATTCAAAACGTTGGTCGTACTGTATCCCCCTTTTTTCCCTTTTTTCTTGGGTAACAATTCTAACAATTCTGGTATTTCCTGCTCAAATCCCCAATGTCCTTCAAATGAGAATTCTGAACATGTTTAGGCTATGCAACAACATCACTCAACCTCAAAAAAATCAAGAAAGCTGCCATAAATCTCCCCAAATAATGTACGTATAGAATTCATCCAAAACACCATTTCTATAAATTCCATGGTCATAAACAAGCCACAATGGATGATTTATCCCCATAAAGTCCTATCATTGAAACCACAGGGCCATCGTCATGTTATCAAATCCCCCTATTATCATAATATGTATATGTCTCATAGATCATCATTGGTAGATCTAATAACGATCATAAATAATCTATATACATGATTTCTATGCATGATATATATATATATATATACATATCATTTATATATATATAAATATATATATTATCATATTATATATGTATAATAATCTATTATCATATAAGAAACATATAGGAATTGCCACATTCCCCCAGGGCCTTTGGATTCTCGTGCGTCACGCGTTGCATCTCCTGCGAGGCCATCACCAGGCCGTTCTCGTCCGCGTGCTCGGCGAGGAGGAGCAAGGCCTCGGTGTTTTTCGCCGTGACGATGGGAAAATCATGGGAAAATCATGGGAAAATCATGATTGATTCAATTGGAAAATTGTCGGATTTTTCTGATTTCCATGATTTCCATAGTGTTTTTTTTCAAGATTTGATGGGATTCATCAATTTGCCGGTGATTCTTGATGTGAAAATTCACTGATAACTGAGGTGATTCAATATGAACGAAGATCCCGAAATTCAATATCTGAGGTGTGCTGCTGAAATCCACGTGATTTCTTGGGTGAAAACCACGTATCTTTCTTGGCAAAATCCTCAATATGACCATGTCTTTTGCTTTGGTTGTTATGTTGACCAAATCCAGGAAATCTCAGTTTGGTCTGGTAACTCCCCATGTAAACAGCTCAAGTTCATACATTAACAAAAAACAATCAAATCCCGACCTAAACCTATCTATCAGCCACAAAAAACCCGATATTTCACGGTACAACCGGATGTTTCCCTGGCGATTTTCCCTTGCTTTAACCATCCCATTGGGAAAATTGATTTGAAAATTGGGAAACTTATGGGAAAATTGTGTGAATTATGACTTAGCCATCGAAAATTGGGAAAATTGGTTTTCAACCATTGGAATATTATGGGATTTAATCATTCACTGGGGATTGCAACATCGAAACTGGTGGTTATTTTATCAGATTTACCATCAATTTGGATTTAAACAGATCTGAGATTTGACCAGCCAAAAATTTGAATTTCACCAACAGAAATGATTTGATTTAAGCAGATGAAATGAAGATTTAACCAAAAAACAAGTGGTACTTACAGAAAACAAATAGGGAGTAAGTTGTCATGAAATGATAATAAACGCCAAGCTTTGGTGAAAACCGCATGGTACTAACCCTCATTGAATTGGTGCATTCCATCTGTACATCTAAACATGTTGATTTTTTGAGAACCCATTAAAAGTGCGGTGAGGTTCTCATATATACATATTTGCATTGAAATTGGGATTGTATGGGATTTGACAAACAAAAATTGAATATGACTAGCGGCAGATGAACTGTTAAATTAAAATTATCCCGAAATAAAGTTGTCATCATGATGCTGACATTTGAATGGAATCCCTACTGATTAGTGGGTGTTCATCCCTATCTATTCAACAACGCGAGCTTCGAAATCTACTCCTTTCAATCCCAAAACTCTCAAAACCATCACTTCTTCAGACCTATTCATATCTATTCCGTTTCATACTTTCATCCTTCATCCCACTAAAAGAACAATTCATCCAAAAAAAGTTCAAAAAGTAACCGCTTTTTCAAATCTTCTATCCCCAAAAAAAAACTTTTAGTTTGGAACGGCGATTCTATTCTGTTGTTCATCCCAGCAAATAAAATATATACTGGCTTCTCTAGAAATTGGATACTTTATATTACTGTACATGGCAATCATCATTACGTGCCTTGTTAAAGTGACCATAAATTGAAAGTTAATCTCCCCATGTTCAGTCAAACCCATCTCCACTACACACTGCTTAAATTCAAATCGTTGATGGTGACACCAAAAAGGAGCAGCAAAAAAGAGGCAAAATCAAAGAGTTTCAGGTTTCTTTCATGCTTATTCCATCCTTCATAATCCTTAAATCTCAAAGCAAATATGCAAAACTGAACCAAAAAAAACTAATCAACTGTTGATTTGTTTCCCATAGATACTTAAATATTATCCCATAGCAAATATGCAAACTTTCATTGATCGAATTTCACACAACTAACTGAGAAAACATCTAGTAATAATAATAAACATACTGTCATCCTTCAGTTGGGCCTTGGCCCAACCCTTCTGGATCATATTGGATATCTGTTTTGGGAAGGATGATGTCGTTCGCTCAGATATCCGGATCATATTGGATGATGAAGGATGAAGGATGATGTCGGTGTTTTTTCTGCACAGATACCCAATCATATTACTGGTTGGTGGTTAAAAAAAAAAACATCTTGAAAAATGATGGAGTTCGTCAATGGTTGGTGGATTATTCATTCATCTGAAATGGAAAATAAAATTCACGTTCCAAAGCACCAACCAGTATACCATCTGGTAAATTCATGGATATCTGGTTGTTACCATGGGATGATTTCTTGCATAATGATATCCAACCAGATATTCAAACCACCAACCAGTGATTATTAACCATGATTAACAATCATTAACCATCATTACCCCATACTAAACCAATGTTCCAGTCACCACCAACCAGATATAGATAATGGGAAATCACCATCTTTAATGGGTAAATCCACTATTTCTATGATGATTTTCCACTATAAATCCACTATTTCTATGTTCCAGTCACCACCAATATCCATCGGAAATCCACCAATTTCTATGGGAGAAATCCATCAATTTCTATGGGAGATGTTTCTGCTATCCATGGGGATATCCATGGGATATCCCCATGCTATCCCGCCTCGGGAGGTGCCCCTTCACGCAACTGACTCAACGCCTCCACGGCTGCTGGGCTCCAACCTGGAGTCGTCGGAAAAACCCACCAGAAATGTCGATGATTTTCCTAGGAAACTACCATAGATATAAAAAAATCCATGAAAACCCACTATTTGTAGAGGAAAATCCATGAAAATCCACTATTTGTAGATAATTTTTAGGTACACCATGGGTTTTCCCTGATTTTCTGCGCGGGAAACGATGGGTTTTCCAGCGCTTTTTTTCTACGTTTAAGCCCAGCCAGCGCCACCTCGATCTGGTTCGGCTTCTTGGACGTAATCAGCCCAATTCCTGGCAGTTTCACTTTTTGGAGCCAAGGGATCTAGAGATTTTGATCGGTTTCACTACAATATGACATTAATAGATCTAATATGCATACATGTGTGTATGTATATATATATATAACTATATGGACTCTATACCATACTTGATCAGTAATTGATGAGCAATATCAAACTCTATATGGCTCCAAGGAGCTTCTGAGGGAGAGTTGGGGATGTAATTTAGGTGGCCAAGTACCTTCTTAGGAAGTATTTGGATCCATAATTTATGATATCAACATACCCAGTATATAACATAATTGAGTAGTAGAAAACTTTAAATTATAGTCAGTTGAAGAATACTATCATTTCAGGATCACGAAAAGCCAAGTGAATATGTTCAAGCCAAGGTGAGTTGTTTTTCTCTGGGGGGGTGCAGAGTCGAGTCATGTTGATCCACAAATACATGATATAGGCTTGCAAGAAAAGATGGTAGAAGACACACTCAATGGATTGCTGTAAACAAAAAAAACTGGAGGAAACCAATGGTTTTACTTCTTAAAAATGTTTCCTCTGCATATGTCCACATGTTTTTGGTTAAAGCCTTATATGTGTGTATGAAGTAATAATTGTGCTTGCGTCAATGCATGGAAAGCACCCTATGTTCTGATGTTGTTTTTCCTGGTGTACACCCCAACATATAGATATTTGGGGGGCTACAATGTATATATATATAATTATATATATTCATACATATATATATATATATGCATAATACATCATATGTGTATATATAATATACGGTATACGTATATAATATAACATAACCTCTAATATCAACTGGAACTGGTGTTAATCCTCCCCGACTTATGAAGATGTCTTATCTCCAAAACCAACTCATATTACCTCTATAATCAACTGTTTCGGGTTTATAAACAGATTTCTAGAGGCAACAGTTGCTTTTGTAGAGCTCATAAATTTTGATGATCATCACTACAATCATTCAAGGTAACCTCAAAGGTACTACCCTTGATGCTTTACCTTAAAGGTAACCCGAACAGCCCTTGCCACCCAAAACCTCCAGGCGTCAGAGAAACGTTTGAACTCAAAGCCTTCCACCGAGACCACCCGCAGCGCCTGGGAATCTGCAGAAATTGGGGATTTCGGCAAAAAGTTGGGAAGTTCACTGGTTTTAGGAAGAAAAGAATGGAATTAATGATGAGATATGTAATATTTGTAATGATATAAAGCTAAGGAAAATGAGGTGCTAATCGAATCACCAAAATTGGAAACACAATTCCTCAAAGCGAGATTTTGGCAGAAGTTCCGTATCCGCGTTGGTTTTTAGCAGAAGAAAACATGCATCCACTTTGGCCCTCAGTTCGTACCTCCAAAAATTGGTTTTTTAAAAATACATGTTAAAAACAGTTCAATTCTGTTTGGGCAACCAGCCATACCAGCCATTCTTCAAGGCTTGATGAGGGCCTCTACACAACTTCGTCTGAGGGCCTCTCCCCAGCCGCACCTGCAACAGTTCTAAGCCGTGACTGCTATGCTCCTCGTTGGCAACAAATATCGGCAGATCGTTTACATCTTTTACACCTCAAACATTAACGGTTAACCCCATGAAAAGCTGAAAATAGATGGAAAATCATCTGATAAAAATCATGGGAAATCTGAGTAATGTTAAACAGTTTGCATGGGAAATCACCATTAGGGAAAACCCATGGGATTTCTCCTCTTCTTCAGCCACTGCCAGCTGATCCAGGCTCACCTGGGTGAAGGATCAAAAAAAAAATAAAAACGCATCAAAAAAAAAATATCCCCATAAGTATCAAAATAAAAATTGATTTGCATCAAAAAAAAATCCCCTGGACTTCTATGGAACTGTCCAAGATTTCAACGTGGTACACGCATCAAAAAAATAAAATTTGCATCAAAAAAAAATAAATTCCGAGGTATGCTAATACAAGTGAGACTCGTACGTGTCTGGAGACAGGGGAGGGAGGGTCAGATGTCGATTGCCGATCTGTCCGCAATATCCAGGTGGTCCGTATCAAACAAGAAAATTCCGAGGTATGCTAATACAAGTGACTCGTACGTGTCTGGAGACAGGGGAGGGAGGGTCAGATGTCGAAGAAAAGGTCGACTGTCAGCAGACAACAGATACCAATGCATATTAAATCACAACTACTCTTGGGATACCGACTCAGACGAAGAGTCCCATTAAGGTGCTCCATAACGCAATGCTCATACATGCGAGGCGATC